GTGTGTGTGCACCTATGATGGAGATGGTGTCCCTGGATGATGAGTGCCAGTGATGAGCTGAGTTCAGGGTTCACAGCCATTGAGCACCTCAGCTGTGACCCGGTGAGTCTTCCCCAGGCTTCGAGCTACATTAAAAGTCACAATGATGTTTACCACAGAGGAACAAAGTTGTCGGAATATTTAAAAATATATTTGAGTGCATTTGATCTTCACCTGTAGAGCAGGACTACTTTGTCCCTGGACGGTATGTTTAAGTGTAACTCTGGCCTCCTTGGAACCTCCATGCGCCCTCCAGGCTCCTACATCCCCCATCGACCGGAGCCTCCAGTCTTGACACTGAACATCTACTGAGACGCTGCGCAGAGGACCTGCACATAGGATCAGAGCAAGTGTGTCACAGGTTAAAGCCTCTCATCACATCATGAGAATCAAAATTGACTTTTACTGAGAGATATGGAAATGACTTTTTACAAAACTGTATGCTTTGGTAGTTTATGAAGGCAACTGTTGACACCTGCTGGCCATACTTTGATATTGCATTTGCATAGTAAGAATTAAGGTAAAACCTCATAATGAACCAGAGAGGGGAAAATATAAAGCAAGGGCTGTGTGCTGCATGAAATGAAAAATAAAAATTCAATGAAACAAATATAACAGACCTGAAGTAAAGTAATTATGACAATGTTGGTTTTATACGTTTTTAGCAGTTTTCAAAATGAAGGACATTTATATTCTCCTGTCCTCTCACAAAAGTACATGGAGGTATTGGAGAAAAACACGAGACCTTGAGAATAAAGTCAAAATACCAAGAGAGCAAAGCATATTAAAAGAAAAAAGGTCCTAATATACTGTATCACTAGAATGAAGTCATCATTTTAGGCTGTGTGTCATTTTAGAATATCAGTGTTATACTTTAAACTTCACATATAAAAATGTTTTCCTCTTTTGTCACATCAGCACCACATTATCATAAGTATCAGGACATGAGAAGACCAAAGACCAGATCATGAAAAAATTGTGTAAGAACATTTTTGTATCTATTTGGAAGAAAGAATCACACAGACTGAGAAGAAGTTGCGTGTTTTGTGGAGTAGGAAATTATTGGAAGTGGTCGACTGTGATGTTATTGTTGGTTACATTTGTATGATATTCAAAGAGGTTATTTAGTTTTTTGTCGGTTTTAGTGGTTCTAGATGTTGAATCCAAAAGGAGTATTATTATTATTATATATTTCCATATTATGCTTTTTTTTTCTCTTTGAATTATGACTTTATTTCTCATAATATTAAGACATTATTTTTGTTATACCTTCCTCTTAACCATGATTTAATTCTTGAAATCTCAGATACAATTTTTTTACAGCAGAAATATTTAGACATCCTAAACTTCAGAGGTTAAAGCATCCCATACAACACATATAAAGCCAACTATTAATATGATCTGACCTTTGAACTGAGCAGTCAGTGCAGTGCCCAGGCCAACTCGTGGTCTTGTTTGATTAGAACCTAGTGGAGAGTAGGAGAGCTGCAGGGCCAGACGTCCATCACCTTCACTGACGTTAAAGCCAGAGGCGAGCAGCTTGTGTCCATCCACGGTGAGCTGAGCCCTGGACTGAAACTGAGAGAAGACTCCCTGGATGGAACAGAGACCCTCCGAGAAACAAATCACAAGAAACATCTCAAAAAAACAGAAAAATCAATCGATTAAATCAATTATCATTAAATAATAAATCAATATTGTAAATAGGTATATTTGATGATTATACAGGATGTTTGAGACAGCTACCTCTACATTGAGTGGAAGTCCTCTGTCCTGCAGCCATGACCAGCTGTGCCACATGTTTCCACTTATCTCTTTCATCATGGGCCAATTTTTCATCTTTACTCTCAGTCCTGAAAGCTGACCTCCAAACTGGGACTGCAAGGTTAAAGCCTTCCCATCAGGGGAACCCAGCTCTACCTGCACACAGCCATTATGAGAACAATCATCTAAAACTCTGACTGTACACCTTCAGCAACTGACCTGTTTTCCATTAATTGACCTGTCACTCAGTTGTAGAAAACTGACTGGTTCATTCTACTTGAGCTTCTTACCTGTATGCTGTTGTTTCCAGGGACTCCGAGCGTCTTCAGATAGTTCACTGTGTGTCTGAAATGACTCTTCACTCTCACTGCCCCGTACGCCTTTGACACTGTCATCTCTTGACTTAACTGTAAGACATATCTCAACTGCAGCAGCTGATATAGTGATTTTGAAACATGCAATGAATGAACGCTTTTGCCATAACTGCTCTTACCTTTTGATTTCCTGCGCTGCTGTTGAATATGTATAAGAACGAGCCATTTCCGTGACTCCCTGAATTCATTGTTAATGCAGCATTTGCAGGGAGACCGAGTTTCTTCAACACAGGCACAGTGTGATTTAGATACAGTGATGCTTCCTTTTTAACCTGCAAAAACAACAACAGCACAAGTCCAGCACAAACATCCACGAAGTTTGTAATCCTACACATTATTGTCTTGTTCTTGTACTTTTTGTTATTTGTCATAAAACAAAATTTAAAACAATGAATAAAAAATCTTGGATCAATTCCTTATTCCACATCCGCACCAAATATCTTATGGATTATTACCAGGCTCCCATTCGGAAATCAGTTTAGTAGTTTTGCGAAAACCTGCTAACAAATAAACCTGAGATGGGTGAAAACATAATCCTTTTCAGTGGTAGTAATCACAATATCAAACATTTACATGCTCTATACATTTTATGCACTATAAAGAATGTCAAATATATTTATAAAATACTTCACCTTTGTTTTCTGAAGAGCCAGTTTAGCGTGTAACGCTGCATCATCTATCACCATGGAAACCTGGGACTCAGTAAGAGTTGGAGAGAAAACCAACATCCCAGAAGCATGAATCCTGTCTGGACTGCCCCACATCTGGGAACAGAACCAGGTAATCAAATTGTCATTCATTCTGGACCATTGATAATTTGTGTGCATGATTAAAGAATTCAACGAGTTGGATCTGTACCTGGACCACTGTGCAGTTGTTGTGATACACCACTGACCCCTGCAGGCCTGACTGTGACATCACAGCTCCACCGGCACTAACAGCACACTCGTCCATCTGAATGAAGCCTTCTGTGTCATATCGCTGTTTTCCAGCCCTGCTGGTTACTCTCAGTCTGCTGTGTTCAGGTAAACCTGCCAGAGTAGGAAGGTTGTGACTGAGCTCACCCTCTATGCTCAGGTCCGGCCAGGGCCTTGCATTGATCCTCAAGAAACCCCTTTGGCCCTCTAGGTCAGTGTCCACTGTGGCTGTCCAGATACCCTCGGGGTCCTGCCACACTGACCCGTTCAAATGTGTCTGGAGAGGATAAGAAGACTGTGATCAATTTGACTTATGGTAGCAAATAAATACATAGACACTGCACATCTTCCGACGGATACTCTGTTAGAGTATGGAGACATTTATAAAAATGTATTTATCCATACACTCTACATATAATGGACCACTTAATGTGACACAATTATAAAGGTGAAGCAGGTATTACCACACCGATTTTAGAAGAATGCAGTAGAGGCCATGGAAGAACCCATTCGATTTGATAAAGGGGACAGATCCAGGACTTTTTCTTACTTTCACCTCCTTTATTTTCAACCTGTTTTGCAATATTTTTGGCTTTCATAGTTAAACAGTTTTCCTTCCTGTAGGGTGAAGGATTCATCTCTGTCGAACTTTCAGTAATCATACAGACCCTACCTCTAACATCGGGCACTTTGACTCCAGAGCCCAGAGCCACTGTGCTCTTCCTTTGACTTCTGAGACTCTACTGGCTCTAATGTGACATGTCCCGGCTTTGATGAACATAGTTCCACTCTGTCCGGCGCCTCCAGGGGCAGTAGCCTCTATGGAGATCATCTGCGGCAAACCTCGACTCCTCAGCTCAGGAAAGGAGTGAGCCAGGGTCCCAGAGAGACGCTGAGGCCTGCAGGACTGTGCCAGGTCCAGGGTGAGGTCTTGGTTGTCTACTTTCAGAGAAGAGGTCACCCTCAGTTGGCAGGTGGCGACTGACAGGAGACCATGGAGATCCATGGACACTGGGAAGACCGTTCCCTATGAAAGAAAAAAGTATGAACACACATAGATCCTTCCATATAATAGTGTATATTACTTTTTATGCTTACCTGTAGAGCAGGACAGTGGTTTGTGACATTGACAGTGTAAGAAGACTGGTCCCCTTCTTTTTCTTTGCTCTTCCCTAATTTACCCCTGAAATGACAACGTCCCAGCTCCAGTCCAACCTCCACACCAGGCAAACGTGCAGTTGATACGTTCAGCACCAGTGCCCCGAGGGAAGGAAATCCCAGTGTCTGTATTTTTTCTATAGAGTGCTGGAAAGATGCTTTTAGACTAAAACGGGGAAGACTAGTTAGGTTTAGAACAAGACTTCCTTCCTGTTTGCCCTCAGCCTGCAAGAAGTGGAGAACAGTACTGAGATCTGTGGAGGATCCAGAACGAGTAATGGAGACATTGACTGAGGCCTGTGGGGGCAGGAAAGCCTATACGGAGAAAAAAGAACAAAAATAAAGATTAGATTTATATTTAGATCTTTTTAGATTATTTTTTACTCCTTCAAATCCACTGTAAAAAATTGTACAGTCAAAAATGATGTAAAATCTTGTGAATATTTAAGTATAGAGCTTTTCACCTTATTAAGCCATCTGGTATCAATAAAATGATAAAACTGAAAGGATTGGTAGCCATTTTACTTGGGGTATGTGGGTTTAGCGGATTTAAATCCAGGATGGAATGTTAGCACAAAT